TTGAGCTTTGCTCTTTCGGCCCGCCTCTCAACTGTCAATCAACTGTTTACTACTTTTTTTTTTTTTTTTTTTCCACACCACACACACACCCCAGGAAGCAGCCCGTGACAGCTGACTAACTCCCAGGTACCTATTTACTGCTAGGTAACAGGGGCACTTAGGGTGAAAGAAACTTTGCCCATTTGTTTCTGCCTCGTGCGGGAATTGAACCCGCGCCACAGAATTACGAATCCTGCGCGCTATCCACCAGGCTACGAGGCCCCGAGGCCTGTGTGTGTGTGTGTGTGTGTGTGTGTGTGTGTGTGTGTGTGTGTGTGTGTGTGTGTGTGTGTGTGTGTGTGTGTGTGTGTGTGTGTGTGTGTGTGTCGCTCGAGAAGAAAACGACATCAACAAGTCCATAAGGTTGACAAAGAAAACGGCATCAACAGGTCCATATAAGGTTGATAAAGAAAACGAAAACATCCTTGTGTTCATAAGGTTAAAAACGTCAAACAAAACTTAATAGAAAGTTCCTACATTATGTAAATTCCAAAAACGAGACGAAGTGATGGATGCTGGGAGGGTAAACCCTGACGTGAAGCCTCAGGGGAGAGGTAAACTGGAGAAGAGCGTCCAGGAGGGGGTTCCAGGGAAGGGTAAACCATTGAAGGGTTCAGGAAAGGTTTTCAGGGAAGGGTAAACCATTGAAGGGGTCCAGGAAGGGTTTCCAGGGAAAGGTAAACCATTAAAGGGACCAGGAAGGGGTTCCAGGGAAGGGTAAACCATTAAAGGGTCCAGGAAGGGTTTCCAGGGAAGGGTAAACCATTGAAGGGGTCCAGGAAGGGGTTCCAGGAAAAGGTAAACCATTGAAGAGTTCAGGAAGGGTTTCAAGGGAAGGGTAAACCATTAAAGGGTCCAGGGAAGGGTAAACCATTGTATAGTCCCGGAGGGAATACCTGGACTATAGAAAGTGCAGAAAGGGATACCAAGGAAGATGTAAACCGTGGGAGTCCAAACATGGGTACCAGGATGGTGGTAAACCTCATTATCATGTACGCTGCGAAAGCAGAAATTATCGTGAAGAAAATATAATATCAACTGTTGTAGTGTAATTAAGATTCACGAAAGGGTCTTCGTACGAGGAAACAAGTGTGTTTCAACTCAGTTGTGCTTGCTGGGGGTTGAGCTTTGGCTCTTTGGTCCCGCCTCTCAACAGTCAATCTACTGGTGTACAGATTCCTGAGCCTACTGGGCTCTATGATATCTACATTTGAAACTGTGTATGGAGTCAGCCTCCACCACATCACTTCCTAGCGCATTCCACCTGTTAACTACTCTGACACTGAAAAAAGTTCTTTCTAACGTCCCTGTGGCTCATGTGGGTACTCAGTTTCCACCTGTGTCCCCTTGTTCGAGTACCGCCAGTGTTGAATAGTTTATCCTTGTCTACCCCTGTCAATTCCCCTAAGGATTTTGTAGGTAGTGATCATGTCTCCCCCTCCCTGTGTGAGTGTATGTTTACATAACGCCTTTCCCCACACACAGTAAAGAGAGGCAACAAGGATATTACATCCATAAAGTGTGCAGTGAAATTATCCGCTCCGTCCTCGGGCGGAACCATTTATACAGCCTTAGTCCCCGCACCAACAGTGTAGGAATTTCAGAAGCGGATCTAAGTGGATTTACGTCGAGGGAAGACACTTTATGGTGTAGGCAAGGTTGGTGTGGTGGAGGCTGGTTGATTATATTTCGAGTGGTTTAGGTGGGTGGCGGGTTGGTGGTGGTGGTTGAAATAGTCTGCTACTAAGGGATGATTGTACTAGCGCACAATCAAAATCAATTATATTTCTCATTTGTCACGTAAACATTTGGAATTATTAATTCTTTAGTCTTCGTATCTCTCTCTCTCTCTCTCTCTCTCTCTCTCTCTCTTCCTCTGTTCTTTCTGTCTCATTTTTATTGATGAAACAAGAGGTTATTGGAAGCTTAGAGTCGGTATCCCACATCTTTCCTCAATTGGTGTCTGGCTTAAGGAGGTACCAGCTGTGTACCAGAGCCATTCAATGGTTGTTTGATGTGATTCTGCGCGTATCTTAAGACTGACACATCTAGCATTAGGTTGGTGAGGGTTGAGCGCCTTGTGTTATAGCTGCCGTCTTGGGGTTGTCAATAAAGTTCTGGCAGGTCTTGGAAACATTATATTTAGCAGTGAGATCACCAACATCTTCCCTGTGTTGATGATCTAGACGTACTGATCAATACAAGCAGATTAAAATTAAAGATCAATCTTCTTGAAGGATTGGGAGGAAATCCATACAAGATGATGAAGATTAAGCCACCCAAGAGGTGGTATGGGCATGAATAGCCCGTAATCCATACAAGATTTTGCTATCCCTGCTGTCGAGAAGGGAAAAAAAGATGACATTAACTTCAAGGAACAGTAGATTATTTCCGCTCATGCTATCTTGAGGTTATCTTGAGATGATTTCGGGGCTTTTTTTTAGTGTCCCCGCGGCCCGGTCCTCGACCAGGCCTCCACCCCCAGGAAGCAGCCCGTGACTAACTCCCAGGTACCTATTTACTGCTAGGTAACAGGGGCATTCAGGGTGAAAGAAACTTTGCCCATTTGTTTCTGCCTTGTGCGGGAATCGAACCCGCGCCACAGAATTACGAATCCTGCGCGCTATCCACCAAGCTACGAGGCCCCTTATGCTTATCAGAGATGCTGCCTCATGCTGTCTGTCATCATCCCCTGAGTATTGTTGTCTGCCAAAGATATAAGATTGATGAAATCGACTTGAGAATGGTCCAGGACGGACCGAAACGTCGTCGTCCCTTCAACTTCTAGCGTGTGGTCTGGTCAACATACTTCAGCCACGTTGTTGTGACTCCTCGCCTGCACATTGATTGATGAAGATTAAGCCACCCAAAAGGTGGCACGGGCATGAATAGCCCCGTAAGTGGTGGCCCTTTTGAGCCATTACCAGTATCAAGAGCTGATACTGGAGATCTGTGGAGGTGCGACTGCACCCTGCGTGACGGGAGATGTCTCCCCAAAGATATAACTATTTCTGCCAAAAATATAACCATTTCTGCAAGATATAACTATTTCTGGCAAAGATATAACCTTTTCTGTCAAAGATATAACCATTTCTGCCAAAGATATAACCATTTCTGCCAAAGACATAACCATTTCTGCCAAAGATATAACCATTTCTGCCAAAGATATAACCATTTCTGCCAAAGATATAACCACTTCTGCCAAAGATATAACCATTTCTGCCAAAGATATAACCATTTCTGCCAAAGATATAACCACTTCTGCCAAAGATATAACCATTTCTGCCAAAGATATAACCATTTCTGCCAAAGATATAACCATTTCTGCCAAAGATATAACCTGCTATTGCATCTCCCAGGTCGATGATGCTGCAAGATGGTTAATGAGATTCGTAGCAGTCTGCATTTCCTCACTTGTATATGTAAAATTTAGAATGCAAATTGTTGAAGTCGATAATCAACAAATCAGGCACAGAATCCTGGCACCAACTGAATCACTCAGATTCTGTTGTATTAAAGACTGCTTTCAGACTCCGTTCTTGAAGGAGTTTATCAGCCCTTATCAGCCGTTTAATGGCGCTTGAGAAACAAAGTACCCTAAGCTTAGTCAGGAGTGGATAGTGCAAAAGCATGGACAAAAACATATGTAATATCCATTGCAATAACACTGCTCCTCATGAATTCATGCAGAGACCGATGTCATTTAATAGTGAGGTTTAGCAAGTGATTAACAACAGAATCGACCATTCTCAAGTCGATTGTGACTTGAGAATGGTCCAGGACGGAGAATCGACTGGAGAATGGTCCAGGACGGAGAATCGACTGGAGAATGGTCCAGGACGGAGAATGGTCCAGGACGGAGAATCGACTTGAGAATGGTCCAGGACGGAGAATCGACTTGAGAATGGTCCAGGACGGAGAATCGACTGGAGAATGGTCCAGGACGGAGAATCGACTGGAGAATGGTCCAGGACGGACCGAAACGTCGTCGTCCCTTCACCTTCTAGTGTGTGGTCTGGTCAACAGTAAACTATGACAGTTAAATTATGCGTCGATGTTTAGTCTTATTGACTCAAGAATTTGGTCGGTAATTGAGAGTAGTGACACTGGTGATTTTTCTTCACACACACACACACACACACACACACACACACACACACACACACACACACACACACACAGGAAGCAGCCCGTACCAGCTGTCTAACTCCCAGGTACCTATTTACTGCTCGGTAACAGGGGACATCAAAGTGAGAGAAACTCTGCCCATTTTTGTTTCCCGCCGGCGCTGGGAATCGAACCCCGGACCACAGGACTACGTATCCAGCGTGTTGTCCATTCAGCCACCGGGGCCCCGATATGTGTGTGTGTGTATGTGTACGTTAATTATACATAAAGATATGTATATTTCCTTAGCTAATTTAGTAAGACGCATCAATCAGACATTTCAAAAATTAATAAAGTCCTTTGATAACAATGATCCTATGAATGAGATTGACCAAGTGACCATGAAAACTTACCCTAGAGAGGCCTAGTTATATATAGGCCTATCACCTGCGATATATCGTATAGGCCTATCACCTGCGATATATCATATAGGCCTCTCACCATCGATATATCGTATATCCCTCTCACCAGTACGGTATAGGAGGAATATCAGTACATAGGGGAAATTTTAGGGCTCGATAGAAAAAATATCAGTGTTTGGCGGGGGAAAATATCAGTGGTTGGCGGGGAAAAATATCAGTGTTTGACAGAATATGTCGATTAAAACCTGATAATTTGTTAATTGGTGTAATTAGCAGTGATCCTAAATCACCATTTAAAACCACCTCACCCCACATTATTTACCACCCCCCCCCCCTCCCCAGTCAACCACCAACCACCACTACTACCACCACTACCAGCCCACTAACACGTCACCACTACCCACACCACCCCGTCTCTTGCACCTGTTTCAGACCTCAGCGGACGGAAACGTCACTACCAGCACTTTGGTCTTTACTCCGAGACCTGAAGACCACGGCACTACTCTACGATGCCTGGCTGAGACCAGAGCAGCTCACGCCACCATGGATGATGTCTGGAACCTCACCGTTCACTGTAAGTTCCTTATACAGGCACTGTTAGTTCCTTCGACGGGCACTGTAACTTCCTTCGACGGGCACTGTAACTTTCTTCGACGGGCACTGTCACTTCCTTCGACGGGCACTGTCACTTCCTTCGACGGGCACTGTCACTTCCTTCGACGGGCACTGTAACTTCCTTCGACGGGCACTGTAACTTTCTTCGACGGGCACTGTAACTTCCTTCGACGGGCACTGTAACTTCCTTCGACAGGCACTGTCACTTCCTTCGACGGGCACTGTAACTTCCTTCGACAGGCACTGTCACTTCCTTCGACGGGCACTGTAACTTCCTTCGACAGGCACTGTAACTTCCTTCGACGGGCACTGTAACTTCCTTCGACGGGCACTGTAACTTCCTTCGACGGGCACTGTAACTTCCTTCGACAGGCACTGTCACTTCCTTCGACGGGCACTGTAACTTCCTTCGACAGGCACTGTCACTTCCTTCGACGGGCACTGTAACTTCCTTCGACAGGCACTGTCACTTCCTTCGACGGGCACTGTAACTTCCTTCGACGGGCACTGTAACTTCCTTCGACAGGCACTGTCACTTCCTTCGACGGGCACTGTAACTTCCTTCGACGGGCACTGTAACTTCCTTCGACGGGCACTGTAACTTCCTTCGACGGGCACTGTCACTTCCTTCGACGGGCACTGTCACTTCCTTCGACGGGCACTGTAACTTCCTTCGACGGGCACTGTAACTTCCTTCGACGGGCACTGTCACTTCCTTCGACGGGCACTGTCACTTCCTTAAACAGGCACTGTAACTTCCCCCTTATAAGTGTTCTTTTGTAACCCATTTCTCAGCACCCATTATCCCAAGTACTATTTCCTGAGTACCCATTTCTTTAAGTAATTCGTATCCTCTCAGCGACTTTCCTATGATGGGTTGTCGGCAGTTGTACGGTCTATTTGGTGTCTATTTATCTATCATCAACATCTTGCTGTGTCTAGTATCTATTAGCAACCTAATTGTGTGTCTATTATCTATTATTATTACACGGGTTTTCTTGATTCAAATTTCCCCCCATTTACCTAAATTGTAAATGTCTCTTAAATAATTGTAAATATCTCCTCTCAGTGTAAATGTATATATATGTTCTGTTTCACTGTTTACATACGAAACACTTTTTTTACAATTTTCAGTTTTTTTTTTTTTACATTTATCAGATCTTCATATTTTTTTTTTATTTATTTGTTTGAAGATGCAAAATTTTTCATTTCGGTTATTTAATTTAATTATAAATGGACAATTTATTTGTGGTTTAGCATTTTCTTTCCCCTGCGGTTTTATCGTCTAGTTCTGTGTTGTTCTTTTGTGATCTTTGTGTTATCAGGAAGAAAAATTAGTTATCGTTAACTTATAGTTATCATTAGTTATCATTAGTTTTTAGTTATCATTAATAGCCTCCGGTCAAGGAGTCTTCTTTGAATATCTTTATGGAAAAGACTTTTTTTTTTTTTTTTGCTAAGACAAAAAAAAGTCTTTTTTTATGCATAAAACATAAAAGACTTTGTTGAAAAGACTTTTGCAGAAATAAAATACTGATGTAGCCAAATGCATTTTAGACTTGTTTATACACAAAACTAATACAATATATCGCACTTCTCACAAGTCTATTTCCCAAAATACATCGAATTATCGTGGGATGGGACGGGGGGAAAGGAATGGTGCCCAACCACTTGTAGACAGTCGGGGGATTGAACTCCGACCAGCATGAAGCGAGACCCTCGTCGCTCTACACCGTCCAGCACAAAGTGATTGGGCAACAACTTCAGGAGTGCCAGGGAGCTAGATCGCCCTCTGACAATGTCAAGAGTGCCAGACCTGGCAGGGTTGAATGCCACCCACATTACGGCTCAGTTCTCTATTGGCCCTCACTGATTGCAATCCAATTCCCCTGAAATGAATCTGTTAGTTTTAATCGAATCTGTAACTCTTCCTCATTCCCATTCAGATGAATCTTCTCCAGGAAATTATCGCGTAGATGTAAATAACATTGATATTATATATATATATATATATATATATATATATATATATATATATATATATATATATATATATATATATATATATATATATATATATATATATATATATATATATATATATATATATATATATATATGACTGAAAACTCACACCCCAAAATTGGTAACTACAGGACGCCTTAATCCGCTTGACCATCACGACCGGACATAAGGAAGTGATAGCTGAAGCTATTTGAACCACTTCCCCGCCGGCACTCGGAGGGTAATCTTGGGCATAGCATTTTATCAAATCACCTCATTCTTTGGGGCACACGTGAGGAACACAAATGCGAACAAGCCTGAATGGTCCCCAGGACTATATGCAACTGAAAACTCACACCCCAGAAGTGACTCGAACCCATACTGCCAGGAGCAACGCAACTGGTATGTACAGGATGCCTTAATCCACTTGACCATCACGACCGGACAAAAGGAAGTGATAGCCGAATTCGAATACATGATATTCGAATATAATACATGATACAATCTTGAGGTTATCTTAAGATGATTTCGGGGCTTTTTAGTGTCCCCGCGGCCCGGTCCTCGACCAGGCCTCCACCCCCAGGAAGCAGCCCGTGACAGCTGACTAACACCCAGGTACCTATTGCTAGGTAACAGGGGCATAGGGTGAAAGAAACTCTGCCCATTGTTTCTCGCCGGCGCCTTGGATCGAACCCAGGACCACAGGATCACAAGTCCAGCGTGCTGTCCGCTGCACAATGGAGAACAGGTAGCTAAGAACGACATAGAGAGTATAATAAGCAGTGTGTTTGGAGGAAATATAGAAAAGTTTTATTAACGGTAGTGTTTTATTTTTCAATAAAGCGGAAGCAAGCGAGGCCTTGAGCGCCAGCTCCAAGGTCACACGAGATGTTTTTCTCTCAGCAGCAAGCGAGGCCTTGAGCGCCAGCTCCAAGGTCACACGAGATGTTTTTCTCTCAGCATTAAGGTTTCGGATCCAATTTTCGTCGATGTGGAATAGGATTTAGGAGAATCTTTTAAGATCAATTGGGCAAAAGAGACTCGATATTGACTTTGCTGGGGTTGAGAGTTTCGTATGAGAGGGGTGGACAAACTTGTGCGTTCGCATACGCATACTGACAAGCACGCACGCACGCACGCACGCACGCACGCACGCACGCACGCATACACACACTCACACACACACACACACACACACACACACACACACACACACACACACACACACACACACACACAGTTGTGTTCTACGGTTGAGAGGCGGGACCAAAGAGCCAGAGCTGAACCCACGCAAGCACAACTAGGTGAGTACAACTAGGTGAGTACACACACACACACACACATACACACACACAAACACACACAAACACACACACACACACACACACACACACACACACACACACACACACACACACACACACACACACACACACACACACAGGCAAGAATAACTCCAGCCATTCCTTCTAACACATTATCCATACACCACCTTCAAAACGTCCTTACCAGAAGGCCACCTACATCAGACTACCCGGAAACAGTGCAGCGTTACCCCGTGAACCAGACTGGGCCACCAGAACCTGTTCCCCTGACCTGCCACAAAGTACAAAATACATAGTGTTAACGTTGACACCATGATGATCTGGTCGAGCGTACAACAATTACCAAGTGATCAACTCAACTGTTCTTGTTCGCATTTTGTCTCCTTAAGAAAAAAAAAGGTGTTTGTTTGACATTATAAGCAAGAAAAGGCACAGAAAAAAGTGATTCACTTTTCATTTCACTTATAAGGTAAAGGTAACCACTTATTCACTTATGTGTAAGTATCCAAAAAATAGGATGAAATGAACTGAATCAAAGCCCGCTCGTAATTTAACGCCCTTTTTTTTTTAAATTAAAATTTTAAATTACGAAAGCGCTCAGATCATTTTAACATCTAGGTCGCGCGGGTTATGTCTATTTCACTGCTAGGTGAAACGCAACGTGCCCAATCGCTTCTGAACTACCCGGGAAATGAACCTGAGTTCCACTTATTTTCAGCCAGTAACGTAGGCAACACATTGTCTCTGATAGATATATTAAATTACTTAAAAAAACCATATTAATTTACATATGTTGCATATATGTCTATCTTTTATTTTTTAATATAATTCATTAAAATATTTTACTATTTCTCTTTTATTTATTTCACATCTGAAGCGATATCATTCTGAGTGCACATCTGAAGCGATATCATTCTGAGTGCACATCTGAAGCGATATCATTCTGAGTGCACATCTGAAGCGATATCATTCTGAGTGCACATCTGAAGCGATATCATTCTGAGTGCACATCTGAAGCGATATCATTCTGAGTGCACATCTGAAGCGATATCATTCTGAGTGCACATCTGAAGCGATATCATTCTGAGTGCACATCTGAAGCGATATCATTCTGAGTGCACATCTGAAGCGATATCATTCTGAGTGCACATCTGAAGCGATATCATTCTGAGTGCACATCTGAAGCGATATCATTCTGAGTGCACATCTGAAGCGATATCATTCTGAGTGCACATCTGAAGCGATATCATTCTAAGTGCACATCTGAAGCGATATCATTCTGAGTGCACATCTGAAGCAAATGACAAAACGTTTTCCTAAAACCCAGAATTTTTTTCACACCGCCCAAAAACGTCTATCTGAAGGCCAAGAAGCATGTTTGAAAATTGTAATGTTAGAAACTGTTTCAAAATCCATATTATATCTCGTTTTTTGTTGTTTTTTAAGAGGGGGGGAGACTTGTGGATAATGAAGTACGGTCTCTGGTTCTTCTCTTAGACCTGCCGACGGCTGCTGCCAGCTTCGGGTCGTCGCTGGACGAGGCCAACATCAAGGAAGGGGACGATGTATACTTCGAGTGCTTCATCGAGGCCAACCCCAGGGTCTCTCACGTGTCTTGGCGCCATAATGTGAGTGTGGTGGTGCGGGATGGTGGTGGTGAGTGTGGTGTGTGATGGGGGTAGTGAGTGTAGTGGTGGTGGTGGTTGTGGTAGTGTTGGTGGCTTATACTTGCCTTTCCATTGGAGACTTTCAGCGCCGTAGAGAGGGGGGAGAACCTGCTGCTTGGGTAACAGCTTCTCTCCCCCGTATCAACCTACCCTGGCTATGCGCCCTGGAGAGGCCACTCTAGAGCGCATCTCCATAGTCTCCCGAGACTGATGGATGCCTACTATTTGCATGTTGCCAAACTTATTTTGGCCTTCGTAAAGTGCAGATACCATGGGGGTGCTGCATAATCCGCTACTAGTCTAACATAGGTTGTGTAAATTCCCTTGAAAGATTTAGGAATTTTGGCGTCCTAATGTTTTTAGAAGCTTCCCATAAGGTGGTGATGATACATCATGTTTATATGAGTGACTTTGGTGTCAACGTTGGAACTGCTTCCATTACCAAATATTTTATTTCTGAATCGTACGGTTGAATTTTCCCTTACAGATTAGATATCTCCCGATCTTCTTTCTCCCTTCTTGAATCCGCATCATCTTACATTTAATGGAATTAAACTCTATCAGCCATTTCTCTGCCCGCTCCTGGAGTTTATCGAGGTCCACCTGGAGCTTATCGAGGTCCACCTGGAGCTTATCGAGGTCCACCTGGAGCTTATCGAGGTCCTCCTGGAGCATATCGAGGTCCACCTGAAGTTTATCGAGGTCCACCTGGAGCTTATCGAGGTCTACCTGGAGCTTATCGAGGTCCACCTGGAGCTTATCGAGGTCCACCTGGAGCTTATCGAGGTCCTCCTGGAGCTTATCGAGGTCCACCTGGAGCTTATCGAGGTCCACCTGGAGCTTATCGAGGTCCACCTGGAGCTTATCGAGGTCCACCTGGAGCTTATCGAGGTACACCTGGAGCTTATCGAGGTCCACCTGGAGCTTATCGAGGTACACCTGGAGCTTATCGAGGTTCTCCTGGAGCTTATCGAGGTCCACCTGGAGCTTATCGAGGTACACCTGGAGCTTATCGAGGTCCACCTGGAGCTTATCGAGGTACACCTGGAGCTTATCGAGGTCCTCCTGGAGCTTATCGAGGTCCACCTGGAGCTTATCGAGGTACACCTGGAGCTTATCGAGGTCCTCCTGGAGCTTATCGAGGTCCACCTGGAGCTTATCGAGGTACACCTGGAGCTTATCGAGGTCCACCTGGAGCTTATCGAGGTACACCTGGAGCTTATCGAGGTCCACCTGGAGATTATCGAGGTCCACCTGGAGATTATCGAGGTCCTCCTGGAGCTTATCGAGGTCCACCTGGAGCTTATCGAGGTCAACCTGGAGCTTATCGAGGTCCACCTGGAGCTTATCGAGGTCCACCTGGAGCTTATCGAGGTCCACCTGGAGCTTATCGAGGTCCTGCTGGATATTATCGAGGTCCACCTGGAGCTTATCGAGGTCCTCCTGGAGCTTATCGAGGTCCTCCTGGAGCTTATCGAGGTCCACCTGGAGCTCATCGAGGTCCACCTGGAGCTCATCGAGGTCCACCTGGAGCTCATCGAGGTCCACCTGGAGCTCATCGAAGTCCACCTGGAGCTCATCGAGGTCCTCCTGGAGCTCATCGAGGTCCTCCTGGAGCTCATCGAGGTCCTCCTGGAGCTCATCGAGGTCCTCCTGGAGCTCATCGAGGTCCTCCTGGAGCTCATCGAGGTCCTCCTGGAGCTCATCGAGGTCCTCCTGGAGCTCATCGAGGTCCTCCTGGAGCTCATCGAGGTCCTCCTGGAGCTCATCGAGGTCCTCCTGGAGCTCATCGAGGTCCACCTGGAGCTCATCGAGGTCCTCCTGGAGCTCATCGAGGTCCTCCTGGAGCTCATCGAGGTCCACCTGGAGCTTATCGAGGTACACCTGGAGCTTATCGAGGTCCTCCTGGAGCTTATCGAGGTCCACCTGGAGATTATCGAGGTCCACCTGGAGATTATCGAGGTCCACCTGGAGCTTATCGAGGTCCACCTGGAGCTTATCGAGGTACACCTGGAGCTTATCGAGGTCCACCTGGAGCTTATCGAGGTCCTCCTGGAGCTTATCGAGGTCCACCTGGAGCTTATCGAGGTCCTCCTGGAGCTTATCGAGGTCCTCCTGGAGCTTATCGAGGTCCTCCTGGAGCTTATCGAGGTCCACCTGGAGCTTATAGAGGTCCTCCTGGAGCTTATCGAGGTCCTCCTGGAGCTTATCGAGGTCCTCCTGGAGCTTATCGAGGTCCTCCTGGAGCTTATCGAGGTCCTCCTGGAGCTTATCGAGGTCCTCCTGGAGCTTATCGAGGTCCTCCTGGAGCTTATCGAGGTCCTCCTGGAGCTTATTGAGGTCCTCCTGGAGCTTATCGAGGTCCACCTGGAGCTTATCGAGGTACACCTGGAGTTTATCGAGGTCCACCTGGAGCTTATCGAGGTACACCTGGAGCTTATCGAGGTCCACCTGGAGATTATCGAGGTCCACCTGGAGATTATCGAGGTCCTCCTGGAGCTTATCGAGGTCCACCTGGAGCTTATCGAGGTCAACCTGGAGCTTATCGAGGTCCACCTGGAGCTTATCGAGGTCCACCTGGAGCTTATCGAGGTCCTCCTGGAGCTTATCGAGGTCCTCCTGGAGCTTATCGAGGTCCTCCTGGAGCTTATCGAGGTCCTCCTGGAGCTTATCGAGGTCCACCTGGAGCTTATCGAGGTCCTCCTGGAGCTTATCGAGGTCCTCCTGGAGCTTATCGAGGTCCTCCTGGAGCTTATCGAGGTCCTCCTGGAGCTTATCGAGGTCCTCCTGGAGCTTATCGAGGTCTTCCTGGAGCTTATCGAGGTCCTCCTGGAGCTTATCGAGGTCCTCCTGGAGCTTATCGAGGTCCTCCTGGAGCTTATCGAGGTCCTCCTGGAGCTTATCGAGGTCCTCCTGGAGCTTATCGAGGTACACCTGGAGCTTATCGAGGTCCACCTGGAGCTTATCGAGGTCCACCTGGAGCTTATCGAGGTACACCTGGAGCTTATCGAGGTCCTCCTGGAGCTTATCGAGGTCCACCTGGAGCTTATCGAGGTCCACCTGGAGCTTATCGAGGTCCACCTGGAGCTTATCGAGGTACACCTGGAGCTTATCGAGGTCCTCCTGGAGCTTATCGAGGTCCTCCTGGAGCTTATCGAGGTACACCTGGAGCTTATCGAGGTACACCTGGAGCTTATCGAGGTCCACCTGGAGCTTATCGAGGTCCTCCTGGAGCTTATCGAGGTCCACCTGGAGCTTATCGAGGTCCTCCTGGAGCTTATCGAGGTCCATCTGGAGCTTATCGAGGTCCACCTGGAGCTTATCGAGGTCCTCCTGGAGCTTATCGAGGTCCACCTGGAGCTTATCGAGGTCCTCCTGGAGCTTATCGAGGTCCTCCTGGAGCTTATCGAGGTCCTCCTGGAGCTTATCGAGGTCCACCTGGAGCTTATCGAGGTCCTCCTGGAGCTTATCGAGGTCCACCTGGAGCTCATCGAGGTCCTCCTGGAGCTCATCGAGGTCCACCTGGAGCTTATCGAGGTCCTCCTGGAGTTTTATGCAGTTTTAGTTTATATGTTGTGTTGAGTGATGTTTGTGATGTCTCATCTTTTGTTTGTTCAGTGATTATTCTATTATTTAAATGCTGCTTCTGGAGGTTTATCGCTTCCTCACTCGGTCTCTTTAAGCTGGTCCTGTTCTGAAACACTTGTGGAGTCTCTGGTTGAGCTCCTCATATCTCTTGGAGTCTCTTGTTGAGCTCCTCATATCTCTTGGAGCTTCTTGTTGAGCTCCTCACACCTCTTGGAGTCTCTTGTTGAGCTCCTCACACCTCTTGGAGTCTCTTGTTGAGCTCCTCATATCTCTTGGAGTCTCTTGTTGAGCTCCTCACACCTCTTGGAGCTTCTTGTTGAGCTCCTCACACCTCTTGGAGCTTCTTGTTGAGCTCCTCATATCTCTTGGAGCTTCTTGTCGATCTCCTCACACCTCTTGGAGCCTCTTGTTGAGCTCCTCACACCTCTTGGAGTCTCTTGTTGAGCTCCTCATATCTCTTGGAGCTTCTTGTTGAGCTCCTCACACCTCTTGGAGTCTCTTGTTGAGCTCCTCACACCTCTTGGAGTCTCTTGTTGAGCTCCTCACACCTCTTGGAGCTTCTTGTTGAGCTCCTCACACCTCTTGGAGCCTCTTGTTGAGCTCCTCACACCTCTTGGAGTCTCTTGTTGAGCTCCTCACACCTCTTGGAGTCTCTTGTTGAGCTCCTCACACCTCTTGGAGCTTCTTGTTGAGCTCCTCATACCTCTTGGAGCTTCTTGTTGAGCTCCTCACACCTCTTGGAGCCTCTTGTTGAGCTCCTCACACATCATGGAGCCTTTGGTTGAGCTCCAACACCTCTTGGAACCTCTGGTTGAGCTCCAACACCTCTAGAAACCTTCGGTTGAGTTCCAACACCTCTAGAAACCTTTGGTTGAGTTCCAACACCTCTAGAAACCTTTGGTTGAGTTCCAACACCTCTAGAAACCTTTGGTTGAGTTCCAACACCTCTAGAAACCTTTGGTTGAGTTCCAACACCTCTAGAAACCTTTGGTTGAGTTCCAACACCTCTTGGAATCTCTGGTTGAGCTGCTTAGAACTTGTGAAATATCTTGTTGAGCCCCTCACACATCTCTTTGTCATTTTCCACGATGATATCCCCCTTTGTTCATCCTAATAACATGATCTCACATACCGTTGTTCTTTAAAAAAAATAATGTTCACGTTAGTAAACCAAATATTCCCTTTTCAGTTGGTATCTTCCTCCTTCCTACGAGGGGCCTCGTAGCCTGGTGGATAGCGCGCAGGACTCGTAATTCTGTGGCGCGGGTTCGATTCCCGCACGAGGCAGAAACAAATGGGCAAAGTTTCTTTCACCCTAAATGCCCCTGTTACCTAGCAGTAAATAGGTACCTGGGTGTTAGTCAGCTGTCACGGGCTGCTTCCTGGGGGTGGAGGCCTGGTCGAGGACCAGGCCACGGGAACACTAAAGCCCCGAAATCATCTCAAGATAACCTCAAGATAACCTTCCCTCCGGTACAGAACGAGGTGCTGGTCCACAACCTGTCCAGTGGAGTCATCATCAGCAACCAGAGTTTGGTGTTGCAGAGGGTCGTCAGGTCCCAAGCCGGGAGGTACTCCTGTCACGCCCACAACGTCGTTGGCGACGGCAGTTCCAACTTCTTGAGACTTGATGTCAAGTGTGAGTATAAGACGTAGCCCACTGCGTCACGGAGCCCCTATTAGTTCTTTAATTGTTACAACATGTTATAAAGTTGTGATGTCTTGGTTATGTAAAGTTTTTTTATGATGTGAGGGAAGGTTGTTACAATGAATCCACTGCAAGGGCCGTGACGAGGGTTCGAACCTGCGTCCAAGAGCATCCCAGACGCTGCCTTAATCGACGCCGCAGGTTCGAATCCTCGTCACGGCCCTTGTGGATTTGTTCATTTGATGCATCACGTTATTGTGATTTATGTGTGTAAGGTTGTTACAATGTTTTATATTCGTTATTATATAACTTGTTCGAACGTTGTAGAAACGTTTTACTTTCGTCATGTTTATGGCGGAGCTGGGGGGACCTTACCTGATCAACCAGGCTATGACTCATACGTCAGGCTGCGGGCAGCCGCGTACAACAGCCTGGTTGACCGGACCATCAACCAGGAGACCTAGTCAGAGACCGGGCCGCGGGGTTAATTGATCCCAGAAATCAACGCAAGGTATAAAAGGTGCGACTGAGGAATTTCTGCCCTTTTCCCAATAACACACAGCATTGTGTACGCTATAGTCCCCCCTCTCCCCGACGGATAAAATAAGAGGGTCCACTACGGGATCACCATAGCCCGTGCTGCTTGGAACTTTAAAAAAATAGAACCTCACCAACACCCGCGTTTTCTATGTAATGGTTAGTTAGGTTAAAGGGGTTACTTGGGTGAAAGCCATATGTGAGTGGTTAAGTTTGTTAATTTGGGTTAAATTGAGTTAAATCATGTTGATGAGTTTGTGTGTGGTGGTCAGTTTACGCAACATTTCCTGCATGATGAGGTAATTATGAGGAGAAAGCGCAATGCCAGTATGACTACATAGCACTTGGAGGGGATATGAGGACAAGGTGCTGGGGTATGAGGACAAGGAGCTGGAATATGAGGACAAGGTGCTGGGGTATGAGGACAAGGAGCTGGGATATGAGGACAAGGAGCTGGGATATGAGGACAAGGAGCTGGGGTATGAGGACAAGGAGCTGGGATATGAGGACAAGGAGCTGGGATATGAGGACAAGGAGCTGGGGTATGAGGACAAGGAGCTGGGATATGAGGACAAGGAGCTGGGATATGAGGACAAGGAGCTGGGATATGAGGACAAGGAGCTGGGGTATGAGGACAAGGAGCTGGGATATGAGGACAAGGAGCTGGGATATGAGGACAAGGAGCTGGAATATGAGGACAAGGAGCTGGGGTATGAGGACAAGGAGCTGGGATATAAGGACAAGGAGCTGGGATATGAGGACAAGGAGCTGGGGTATGAGGACAAGGAGCTGGGGTATGAGGACAAGGAGCTAGGGTATGAGGACAAGGAGCTGGGGTATGAGGACAAGGAGCTGGGGTATGAGGACAAGGAGCTGGGATATGAGGACAAGGAGCTGGGATATGAGGACAAGGAGCTGGGGTATGAGGACAAGAAGCTGGGATATGAGGACAAGAAGCTGGGATATGAGGACAAGGAGCTGGGGTATGAGGACAAGGAGCTGGGATATGAGGACAAGGAGCTGGGATATGAGGACAAGGAGCTAGGGTATGAGGACAAGGAGCTGGGGTATGAGGACAAGGAGCTAGGGTATGAGGACAAGGAGCTGGGATATGAGGACAAGGAGCTGGGATATGAGAACAAGAAGAAATGGAGGACAAAGGGGGGTCAAAGAACGGTTGCCCAGTCAACCAAACCCTAGGGGATCGAACACCAACCATGCAAGCTGCGAGATACTCGTTCTTGATAAAATCCAGTAATGCATAACCGTGAATTATTCATCGCATAAAATGTGACCAAAATGGATCCAACAGCCTCTGGTGTAGTCGTCTTACCCAAACACTCACAGGATCGACGCGAACACATTTCCCACTCACAGGATCGACGCGAACACATTTCCCACTCACAGGATCGACGCGAACACATTTCCCACTCACAGGATCGACGCGAACACATTTCCCACTCACAGGATCGACGCGAACACATTTCACACTCACAGGATCGACGCGAACACATTTCCCACTCACAGGATCGACCCGAACACATTTCACACTCACAGGATCGACGCGAACACATTTCCCACTCACAGGATCGACGCGAACGCATTTCCCACTCACAGGATCGACGTGAACACATTTCCCACTCACAGGATCGACCCGAACACATTTCACACTCACAGGATCGACGCGAACACATTTCCCACTCACAGGATCGACCCGAACACATTTCACACTCACAGGACCGACGCGAACACATTTCCCACTCACAGGATCGACCCGAACACATTTCACACTCACAGGATCGACGCGAACACATTTCACACTCACAGGATCGACCCGAACACATTTCCTCCTAGCGGTCAACAGTTACAGTAAAATAGAGAAGTAGCACCTGCAGGACTCCCATTTTCTATCACATGGCAAACAGAAACAAACTGGATAATATACAAATCCACAAGGGCCGTGAAGAGGATTCGAACTTACGTCCGGGAGCATCCTAGACGCGGCCTTAATCGACTGAGCTACGACATGGTCAAAATTTTCAAGATTTCCCCTTGTGGATTTGTTCACTGATGCATCACGCTATTGTGATTTCTCTGTGTAAACTGTATAATAGTTTACCTTCGTGTTGGAATTAACTTCCAAGGTTACTTGGAGAGGTTTACCAAGGCCCCCCCCCACCCCTCTGACTCTAGTCTACCAACCACCCAGCATGAATAATTTAGGGGAAACTCACAGTGTAGGTTTACAATATAGGTAAACTCACTATCAAGAGAGAGAACTGAATATGTTTTTTGATTTTAACTCCAAGTGTTTACAGCATGAAAAATATACAATTTTAAAGTCATAGCATTATTGATCATTTAAAATGAACTTACTTTACACGAGTTAACTTAGTTAACAATAATTAACTTACTGAAAATTAACTTAATTAATAATGAACATAGTTTTCAATATTTCAAGCATTTTATTCATTTATACTAGAAGAAGGTTTTTTTATAGTCTGTCACTGATAATTATACTAATGCATTATACAATATATATATAATGTATAATATGATTGTAATCACAAATTATACAATGTATGATCTCGTAATAATATCGTATGATTATGTATAATATCACTGTAAAGTACATCATTATAGCCATAAATTATATTATGTATATCATTATATTATGAATAATATCATAGTATATGTTTATCACTGTATAATACTTGTATAATACTAATAGTGTATAATGTATATTATTGTATAATGTATATTATTGTATAATGTATATTATTGTATAATGTATAATACACTAATGCATAATATCATTGTATACGGCATAATATCAATATATAATGCAAAATATCATTGTATAAGGCATAATATCACTATTTAATGTATAATATCATTGTAGAGTATAATGTACACCATAAATAATATATCATATAATCACAAAAGGATTATATATATATATATATATATATATATATATATATATATATATATATATATATATATATATATATTTCATCAAAATTTCATCAAAGTTAAATTTTTTCATCAGGAAATATTTTGCAGGATAAAAAAATTTACAAATATATTATCCTCAAATTGGATAAACTCTGAAAAATATCCCACGACCACAAACAACAACTCTCCCCCCCTCCCCCCTCCCCCCTTTCTCTGAAAAAGACCAGTTTACCCCTACCATCTTCCCCCCCCCCCTACACACTACCTAACTCTCCTCCCCCCCCCTTTTTTTCCAGCCCCCCAAAACCCCCCAATTTCATTAAGTTAAAAAAGGGTTTATGTTTTGAGACAGTGTTGCGCTCTCAGGCATTTTCTGTTTTTTTTTCCTAATTCTAGTGTGATTAATTTTTTTTGTTTCGTGTCGGTGGAATTTGATTGTAATGAATACAATGGCGGGTTTATTTTTTGTTTAAGGGGTAGGGAGACTTTCTGGGGGTCTGTCACTATGTGTTGGTGCTTTCTGGGGGTCTGTCACTATGTGTTGGTGCTTTCTGGGGGTCTGTTACTATATGTTGGTACTTTCTGGTGGTCCATCACTACATACTGGTACTTTCTGGCGGTCCATCACTACATACTGGTACTTTCTGGCGGTCCATCACTACATACTGGTACTTTCTGGTGGTCCATCACTACATATTGGTACTTTCTGGTGGTCCATCACTACATATTGGTCCTTTCTGGCGGTCCATCACTACATATTGGTCCTTTCTGGCGGTCCATCACTACATATTGGTACTTTCTGGTGGTCCATCACTACATATTGATACTTTCTGGTGGTCCATCACTACATATTGGTCCTTTCTGGCGGTCCATCACTACATATTGGTCCTTTCTGGCGGTCCATCACTACATATTGGTCCTTTCTGGTGGTCCATCACTACATATTGGTCCTTTCTGGTGGTCCATCACTACATATTGGTCCTTTCTGGCGGTCCATCACTACATACTGGTACTTTCTGGCGGTCCATCACTACATATTGGTACTTTCTGGTGGTCCATCACCACATATTGGTACTTTCTGGCGGTCCATCACCACATATTGGTACTTTCTGGTGGTCCACCACCACATATTGGTACTTTCTGGTGGTCCACCACCACATATTGGTACTTTCTGGTGGTCCATCACTACATATTGGTACTTTCTGGCGGTCCATCACTACATATTGGTACTTTCTGGTGGTCCACCACCACATATTGGTACTTATTGTATGTTAATTGTTTGTCCGGTTCCTTGTAAAGTCAGATCGCAGCTTCCCTCCCCCGGTCTCCTGCACCACCAGGAGCAGTTGCGGCTTCCAGAAACGACTCCTGATGGCGTTTGAGACTCTGGAAACCATCTGGTGATCCAGGCATGTAAACACACAAGACATTGAGCTTTTGGAGAGGCCCGGGTGGTGTTTGCTCAGCATATTGAGTGCCTGAGGGACGTGGGGGAAAGTCGAGGTCTCACAGCAGGAGCTATAGGCGCCTCGCTGGGGCTCAAAGACCGCAACTGTGGCATTCGAAGTCGATCTGCCAAGCAGCTTCGATGTTCCGCTGGTGTTTGGGTGCTTCTGCGACCTGCCAGGAGCCAGGGAGGTAGGCAGGACACCCCTGACGCACTTCGGACACAGTCGCCATACGGAGCAGAAAAGGCATTCAAGCAAGCTTCCTGTCGGAGAGGAAGGGACTCCGCTGTGTCAAAGACCGCCAGCAGGAGTCAGACGTCGCCGGGGACCCCACCGCCAGGGGCGAGACGGTGTATACAACGAACCAAGGAACTGGAGAGGTAGCGGGAGAGAGAGAGAGAGAGAGAGAGAGAGAGAGAGAGAGAGAGAGAGAGAGAGAGAGAGAGAGAGAGAGAGAGAGAGAGAGAGAGAGAGAGAATAACAGGAAGGAAAGGCAGTGGAAAGCAAAGGATAAACAAAGAAACAGATACAAACAAGGATGACGTAGAATATAATAAAGAAATGAATAAATAAATGAGAAGTAAAGCAAGAGAAACAAACAAACAAACAGGAGCTGAGCAATGTGGTGAAGCCAATGTAAAGTTTACTGTGTCCCAGACAATGTAAAGTTTACTGTGTCCCAGACAATGTAAAGTTTACTGTGCCCCAGACAATGTAAAGTTTACTGTGCCCCAGACAATGTAAAGTTTACTGTGTCCCAGACAATGTAAAGTTTACTGTGCCCCAGACAATGTAAAGTTTACTGTGTCCCAGACAATGTAAAGTTTACTGTGTCCCAGACAATGTAAAGTTTACTGTGCCCCAGACAATGTAAAGTTTACAGTGCTCAAAGTAATTTGCTTTTTTAAACTTTACATACACGTATGTGATGCTTAAAAGGGAGGAAGAGTTCGAGTGACATGTGTAAAGCTGTCATAAAGCTGTCTTAAAGCTGTCGTAAAGCTGGCGTAAAGCTGTCTTAAAGCTGTCGTATAGCTGGCGTAAAGCTGTCTTAAAGCTGTCGTATAGCTGGCATAAAGTAGACGTGTAGAAGACAAACGTTCCTCTTAACTGAGGCTTCAACATTGTGTTGAAGATATAAAGCTGACCAGAGACCCTCTATTGTACACAGAGCTCTAATGGCAAGCTCTTCTACCCATTTATTCAACTTACACCGTAGAGGAGTCCGGTAGAGGGCGCATGATGGTGTAGCAGGTCCTGTGTAGAGCAGTTTCTTGAGTGTGGTTACAGCTTCCACGAATCATGTAGTTGACGAAAGTAGAGAGAAAGTACTCATGTTTGCGTATTAATTTGACCTGATAGAAGGTGGGTTTACGCATGGCGTACGGTGTAGAGATGTCTGTCATTCTGGCGTCAGTGGAGTCCCTGTGGATTCTCTATCTATCTCTCTCTATCTATCTCTATCTCTCTCTCTCTCCGGCACCGTATATGCCAGGTATAATGGCTTCGACATGGCCTGCTGGGCCGGATAGATGCTTTCGCTGTGCCTTTTCAAGAGCATTGTGTCAGGCAGGGCGACCTTACACACACACACACACACACACACACACACACACACACACACACACACACACACACACACACACACACACGCGCGCGCGCGCACGCACGCACACACAAAGGGCATCACGCAAAATAAAAACGCACAGATAAAATGAGTCTGGCATTAAATCTGAAGACTTTGTTTCACTCGGAGGTCATTGTGGGAGTTCCTTTGTCAATGTGTTGTTTAATTCGGATTTTTTGGGTCCGCCTTTTTTTCCATGCTGTTTTTGGTAAACGTTGTTTAACGTTTTTCAAAACGTTGGTTATGTGGTGTTGATCTGACCTCCAGGGGCGATATTTATTCCGACTCACACTAATTCTTATTTTGAGATATTGAAATAGATATTGAAAAAAAGAAAGCTATTGAAGGGAAGTATTATACATAAGGCCTCCAGGAGCATATATATTTACACGAAGTTAAAGGATATACATTATTCATTATCAATTTGTTTAAGTTTGCTTATCCTTACTTGAGACGTCGTACTTGAGACGTCGTACTTGAGACGTCGTACTTGAGATGTCGTTCTTGAGATGGCGTACTTGAGACGTCGTACTTGAGATGTCGTTCTTGAGATGTCGTTCTTGAGATGTCGTACTTGAGATGTTGTATTTGAGATGTCGTTCTTGAGATGTCGTACTTGAGACGTCGTACTTGAGATGTCGTTCTTGAGATGTCGTTCTTGAGATGTCGTACTTGAGACGTCGTACTTGAGACGGCGTACTTGAGATTTCGTACTTGAGACGTCGTACTTGAGACGTCGTACTTGAGATGTCGTACTTGAGATGGCGTACTTGAGACGTCGTACTTGAGATGTCGTTCTTGAGATGTCGTTCTTGAGATGTCGTACTTGAGATGTCGTTCTTGAGACGTCGTACTTGAGATGTCGTACTTGAGATGTCGTTCTTGAGACGTCGTACTTGAGATGTCGTTCTTGAGATGTCGTACTTGAGATGGCGTACTTGAGACGTCGTACTTGAGATGTCGTTCTTGAGATGTCGTACTTGAGATGGCGTACTTGAGACGTCGTACTTGAGATGTCGTTCTTGAGATGTCGTTCTTGAGATGTCGTACTTGAGACGTCGTACTTGAGACGGCGTACTTGAGATTTCGTACTTGAGACGTCGTACTTGAGACGTCGTACTTGAGATGTCGTACTTGAGAAGTCACACGCTTAGTTCCACACTCCTCCACCTTACGAGACGGCGCTGTGAACGAACTCAAGAACACATCAAACTGCAGAAAGATCCAATAACCCCCATACGAGGCAGTTACGATGTATTACACCCACCCAAAACAATCCAGCGATCATGTATGCCTGACATCAGCTGACATTATCACCTGACATCACTCGTTCTCCCTGTCACCAGACGCGCCAGTGTGTTCCCCGGGTCAGGTCACGACCTACGCCGTAGGTCGCAATGAGGACGCAGAGGTGACCTGTTCGGTGCAGGCTAACCCGCTGCAGGCCACCTTCCAGTGGACGTTTAACAACACGGCCGACACCATAGACGTGCCCCAGGGGCGCTTCACCTCCTCCAGCAGTCACAGCGTCATCACCTACACGCCCATGACCTCTCTGGACTACGGCACGCTCCTCTGCTGGGCCTCCAATGAGATCGGAACCCAGAAGGAGCCCTGTGTGTTCCATATCGTTCCTGCAGGTGAGGTTCCTTTAGGTTTTCTACGTCCTCCTGCAGGTGAAGTTCCTCTAAGTATTCTACGTCCTCCTGAAGCCAGCAATGTTCTGAGGTAACTTAAGGCTTTTGTCGACCAGACCACACACTAGAAGTTGAAGGGACGACGACGTTTCGGTCCGTCCTGGACCATTCTCAAGTCGATGAGAATGGTCTTCCTTCCATCGACTTGAGAATGGTCCAGGACGGACCGAAACGTCGTCGTCCCTTCACCTTCTAGTGTGTGGTCTGGTCAACATACTTCAGCCACGACCCTTCCTTCCTCAGGTAACTTGAGAACTTCCTTACAAGATATTATTCTCAGGTAACTTGGAACTTTACCTGTTAGATGTAAGATTCTGGTCCTTCCTTACCTGAGGATCACCTTGATTGATTGCCTGCCGTGAGATGTACCCAGGAGATGAGAAGACGATCTCTCAGGTACGCGAGAGAGGAGAGATTATAGGAAGCTTAGGAGGAGATCAGGAGATCAGGAGATTAAAAGGAGATCTAGGAATGTAGTTTGTGGGTGTGTAATATAATCTTGACTCGGTGTATGTTATCGTAGGATAACTGTTGTAGGATATCGTAGCTATTGTGTGCATGGTAAAAGTATTACACATTATAGACAACATTTTTGAGCAAAGGATTGTCAGGATTGACAAAACCTTTTGATTTACTAGTTTTTTTAAGTTTTTTTATGTAACTTAATTAGAAAGATACTTATGTTCACAAATATATATGCGTACACACACACACACACACACACACACACATACATACCCACCCACCCACACCCACCCACCCACCCACACACACACACACACACACACACACACACACATACCCACCCACCCACACACACCCACACTCACCCACCCACACACACACACACACACACACACACACACACACACACACACACACACACACACACACACACACACACACACACACACACACACACACACACACACACACACACACACACACACACACACACACACACACACACACACACACACACACACCCACACCCACACACACACACACACACACACACACACACAATTACACCCCCCTGATGATTTCTGGTTATTCATTAACATTTCCACATCAAGTATTATGCTCCACGACATACTTGGGCTCCACGACTTCTTGGCAACATACCTTTATCTTCATTTCTCTCTCTCAGGAAACCTCTCGAGTCAGTTGTTTTCCAGGGTGAACTTCCTCCTTAGGTAAATAAACACACTGTTTCTTTCCGGAATAATCTTTCTAAGATAGTTGCAGACTTGGTTAGTTTCTCTCGTGTGCTTACGAGACTCATCCAAGGCAAAGGTATCCTTACTATATCATCTCCTATTCTATAATCAAGGGTGTGTGCGGTTTCCATTTTATTTATTATCCAGGGGTCAGCTGCTCGTATGATATTCCCTTATTATATGTGCTGGTGCCCTTCTTCCCCTCACGTACACACACGCCAGGTGCGCTACGCCGTTACTTAAGTTCCTTATTATATGTGCTGGTGCCCTTGTTCTTCTCACGTACACACACGCCAGGTGCGCTACGCCGTTACTTAAGTTCCTTATTATATGTGCTGGTGCCCTTGTTCTTCTCACGTACACACACGCCAGGTGCGCTACGCCGTTACTTAAGTTCCTTATTATATGTGCTGGTGCCCTTGTTCCTCTCACGTACACACACGCCAGGTGCGCTGCGCCGTTACTTAAGTTCCTTATTATATGTGCTGGTGCCCTTCTTCCTCTCACGTACACACACGCCAGGTACGCTACGCCGTTACTTAAGTTCCTTATTATATGTGCTGGTGCCCTTGTTCCTCTCACGTACACACACGCCAGGTACGCTACGCCGTTACTTAAGTTCCTTATTATATGTGCTGGTGCCCTTGTTCCTCTCACGTACACACACGCCAGGTACGCTACGCCGTTACTTAAGTTCCTTATTATATGTGCTGGTGCCCTTGTTCCTCTCACGTACACACACGCCAGGTACGCTACGCCGTTACTTAAGTTCCTTATTATATGTGCTGGTGCCCTTGTTCCTCTCACGTACACACACGCCAGGTACGCTACGCCGTTACTTAAATCACTATTGTGTTCTTCCAGGAAAGCCAGACCCGCCGGGTAACTGTACGGTGGGAGCTAGAACCCGTTCCTCCGTCAGGGTGAAGTGTGTAGCGGGTCACAGCGGAGGGCTGCCCCAACGGTTCCTGCTGCAGTCGAAGCTACAAGAAGGGCAGCACCTGGTCAACCTTTCTGCCCCTTCGCCAGTCTTCTTCGTGAGTTGGTCTGATTACCTCGTTGGGGTATGTAGGGAAGGGTGCGCCTCGGCCAGTCAGATCGCAAGATGACGTTTCGAGTTCGATGATAGGATGATTTGTCTTTTTGTTCTTCCTAGAAGTAAAGAGGTGCCAGGGAGTAAGGCAACTGTTGTGGGTTGCAACCTGGTGGGAGGATAGTAGTTGATATGAGGCTTCTAAACTCTCTTATGTGTCTCATTCCGGCTTTCCCATCTATGTTCTCACCTGTGGAACCCCTCCTACAACCACATTCTCACCTGTGGAACCCCTCCTACAACCACGTTCTCACCTGTGGAACCCCTTCCTACAACCACGATCTCACCTGTGGAACCCCTCCTACAACCACGTTTTCACCTCTAGACCCCCTCCTACAACCACGTTCTCACCTGTGGAACCCCTCCTACAACCACGTTCTCACCTGTAGAACCCCTCCTACAACCACGTTCTCACCTGTGGAACCCCTCCTACAACCACGTTCTCACCTCTAGACCCCCTCCTACAACCACGTTCTCACCTGTGGAACCCCTCCTACAACCACGTTCTCACCTCTAGACCCCCTCCTACAACCACGTTCTCACCTGTGGAACCCCTCCTACAACCACGTTTTCACCTCTAGACCCCCTCCTACAACCACGTTCTCACCTGTGGAACCCCTCCTACAACCACGTTCTCACCTGTGGAACCCCTACCAGAAAATACATCGAGCTAGCAACATTGACAGACGCCACTACTGACCAAAGCTCACATTCACATGCCACAAGTTCAAGACTGAGGCCACTCAGCTAAACCAGATAATGTATTGTGTACATGGGATCAACAGGAGACATTCACCTTAACAAACTTATATATATAATTCTTATTTTGCTAGAGTACGATACACAGTATAATCTTAGTCCCATGGACCATTTTAATTTCTGCCGTGGACCCCAGGTTGGGGACCACTGATCTTGGGGCCATGAAGCCACAGTTTGTCATTTTATGATGAGTGTGTGCTATATGTCTATAAGGTTAATGTCCCTCCGGATAATGATCATCTCTGACGACTAGGGACCATTATAGTTTATGATTTGTTATTTTTTTAATAATAGCCAGGTAATGTATATATTTTTTACTGTGTGTCTCAGTTTCATGACTCTTGTCTCAGCTTCACGACCCCTTGTCTCAGCTCTACGACCCTTGTCTCAGCTCTACGACCCTTGTCTCAGCTCTACGACCCTTGTCTCAGCTTCATGATCCTTGTCTCAGCTCTACGACCCTTGTCTCAGCTTCATGATCCTTGTCTCAGCTCTACGACCCTTGTCTCAGCTCTACGACCCTTGTCTCAGCTTCACGACTCCTTGTCTCAGCTCTACGACCCTTGTCTCAGCTCTACGACCTTTGTCTCAGCTTCACGACTCCTTGTCTCAGCTCTACGACCTTTGTCTCAGCTCTACGACCTTTGTCTCAGCTTCACGACTCCTTGTCTCAGCTCTACGACCCTTGTCTCAGCTTCATGATCCTTGTCTCAGCTCTACGACCCTTGTCTCAGCTCTACGACCTTTGTCTCAGCTTCACGACTCCTTGTCTCAGCTCCACGACCCTTGTCTCAGCTCTACGACACCTTGTCTCAGCTTCACGACCCTTGTCTCAGCTTCACGACTCCTTGTCTCAGCTCTACGACCCATGTCTCAGCTCTACGACCCTTGTCTCAGCTTCACGACTCCTTGTCTCAGCTCTACGACCCTTGTCTCAGCTCTACGACCCTTGTCTCAGCTCTACGACCCTTGTCTCAGCTTCACGACTCCTTGTCTCAGCTCTACGACCCTTGTCTCAGCTCTACGACCCTTGTCTCAGCTCTACGACCCATGTCTCAGCTCCACGACCCTTGTCTCAGCTCTACGACCCTTGTCTCAGCTCTACGACCCTTGTCTCAGCTCTACGACCCTTGTCTCAGCTCTACGACTCTTGTCTCAGCTCTACGACCCATGTCTCAGCTCTACGACCCATGTCTCAGCTCTACGACTCTTGTCTCAGCTCTACGACTCTTGTCTCAGCTCTACGACCCTTGTCTCAGCTCTACGACCCTTGTCTCAGCTCTACGACCCTTGTCTCAGCTCTACGACCCTTGTTTTAAACGACTGGAAGTATTGGTACACTTCAACCTAAAATTTCTTCCTGTTCAAGTATAGGAGTCTTAGAGGAGTAGAAGAAGGAGTCTAACCTCTTGGGGTGGACGGTAGAGCGACGGTTTCGCGTCATGCAGGTCGGCGTTCAATCCCCCGACCGTCCACAAGTGGTTGGGCACCATTCCTTTCCCTTCGTCCCCAATGTACGATTTCCATTCTTAAAAAGGAAAGGTAATCCTAAAATTTACATATTAGCTGGTATAATGTTTCTGAAATATATTGCAATGTCTGATTTTAATACAATGGGAAAAAGTCATGTATTGCTAGTGCAATTTTGCAACATGAAAATATACTTTAATATACGTGGTATACTTTAACGAGGAACTGAACGGAAAAGAGTTTATTAAATTGTATTTTTAAAAGAAGTGTGTGTGTGTGTGTTTTTAAGGAGGTGTGAGAGGCGACAAGAATGATAGAAGCAGCTATAATTTCCTCTGATTACATGTTGGTGCTGTGTACGATATAGTTAAGAGTAGAGAGGATGTTTCGTACCCAACTCTCTCTCTCTCTCTCTCTCTCTCTCTCTCTCTCTCTCTCTCTCTCTCTCTCTCTCTCTCTCTCTCTCTCTCTCTCTCTCTCAACGATAAATGAATACATACGTACACGTAGTCTAACATGCATACATATATATATATATATATATATATATATATATATATATATATATATATATATATATATATATATATATATATATATATATACATATATAGGGTCTAACATACACATACATACATACACTGGGTCTGACAGCTACTTAGAGCAAGTTACCTCTTTATCACACCACAAAGATCTCTCCAGCTGAAGTTAAGAGTCTAAAACTTGTGGAAATTCAACTGTCTGCCAGCTGCTGTCTCCTCCCCTTCCTGTCCCCCCACCCCCACCTCCTGTCCCTTACCTCCTGTCTCCCACCTCCACAAAATGTGGAGACGGTGCAATGCGACTCGAGCTTCCCCTGACAGAATTACCGTCCTTTTCCCCCGAGAGTTTCAACGTCAGCTTGTTGAGAGCGTCTCAGGTCGGGAGATCCGCTATTATCCTGAAGGTCAGCTACAGGGCTCCACTACACCACTAACCTGGAGGGCCACCACCTACAGGGCCCCACTAACCTGGAGGGCGACCATCTACAGCCACCCACTAACCTGGAGGGCGACCATCTACAGCCACCCACTAACCTGGAGGGCGACCACCACCTACCTGCTCACACTAACCTGGAGGGCCACCACCTACAGGGCCCCACTAACCTGGAGGGCGACCATCTACAGCCACCCACTAACCTGGAGGGCGACCATCTACAGCCACCCACTAACCTGGAGGGCGACCACCACCTACCTGCTCACACTAACCTGGAGGGCCACCACCTACAGGGCCCCACTAACCTGGAGGGCGACCATCTACAGCCACCCACTAACCTGGAGGGCGACCATCTACAGCCACCCACTAACCTGGAGGGCGACCACCACCTACCTGCTCACACTAACCTGGAGGGCCACCACCTACATATAAACATCACGTGAAAAGTTTCAATTACGACATTAGCCACCGTCTTCATCTGGAAGACAGTCTTGATTCAAGACTGTCTTCAGACACACACCTCCATAGATTACTGAAGGAAAAGAAGGAAATTGTCAGGGGAAAGCGCCAACCAAGCCATTACGACTATCTTCCACTTGGAAAGGGGTCGAGATGAGGGACTTGGAATGGGACTTAGGGAAAGGAATGGTGTCCACAACCACTTGTGGACAGTCGGGGATTGAACGCCGACCTGCATGAAGCGAGACCGTCGATCTACCGTCCAGCCCAAGTGGTTGGATCATAGATTATCTTGAGATTATCTTGAGATGATTTCGGGACTTTAGTGTCCCCGCGGCCCGGTCCTCGACCAGGCCTCCACCCCCAGGAAGCAGCCCGTGACAGCTGACTAACACCCAGGTACCTATTTTACTGCTAGGTAACAGGGGCATAGGGTGAAAGAAACTCTGCCCATTGTTTCTCGCCGGCGCCCGGGATCGATCCCGGGACCACAGGATCACAAGTCCAGTGTGCTGTCCGCTCGGCCGACCGGCTCCCTTGCTTGACAAGTTTGGACTTGACAAGTCCAAACACATAACCTTGAATTTCTGATCTTTGTTATCAGATCTGAAGATCATTTTAGGGAGAACTGAATATATATTTTACAACTTTTCTCAACTTTATATAAAACGCATTTACAATACCCTTTCGATGGGTAAAATAATAGAATTATTTGATGTAAATGTCTCTGATTTTTTTTTGTAGTGAATTGAAATGGAGAAATAAATACATATTTACCCCTGGCGGATACATATATGTACTTGTCAAGCAGGTATAGCGCTGTCAACCACAGGTACTTGTCAAGCAGGTATAGCGCTGTCAATCACAGGTACTTGTCAAGTAGGTATAGCGCTGTCAACCACAGGTACTTGTCAAGCATGTATAGCGCTGTCAACCACGGATACTTGTCAAGTAGGTAAAGCGCTGTCACCACGGATACTTGTCAAGCAGGTATAGCGCTGTCAACCACGGGTACTTGTCAAGTAGTTATAGCGCTGTCAACCACGGGTACTTGTCAAGCAGTTATAGCGCTGTCAACCACGGGTACTTGTCAAGCAGGTAGAGCGCTGTCAACCACGGGTACTTGTCAAGCATGTATAGCGCTGTCAACCACGGGTACTTGTCAAGCAAGTAGAGCGCTGTCAACCACGGGTACTTGTCAAGCAAGTATAGCGCTGTCAATCACAGGTACTTGTCAAGCAGGTAGAGCGCTGTCAACCACTTATCAAGCATGTATAGCGGTGTCAATCACAGGTACTTGTCAAGCAGGTAGAGCGCTGTCAACCACTTGTCAAGCAGGTATAGCGCTGTCAACCACGGGTACTGGTCAAGTAGTTACGACCTCGTAACTACGGCCTGTAACGATGTGTTCTGTTCCAGGTGGAGGGCCTGCAGGCTGGGAAGAAGTACGACCTCGTTATTACAGCCTACAACGAGAAGGGTTCGAGCCTTGCCACCCATGTTACTGTGTCGAGCAGTGGTGCCAACGGTTCAGTCTTCCAGCCCCATGGTGAGTATACCTGTATCTTGGTGAGTCTACCAGTATCCTGGTGAGTCTATCTGTATCCTGGTGAGTCTACCTGTATCCTGATGAGTCTACCTGTACCCTGGTGAGTCTACCTGTACCCTAGTGAGTCTACCTGTATCCTGGTGAGTCTACCTGTACCCTGGTGAGTCTACCTGTACCCTAGTGAGTCTACCTGTATCCTGGTGAGTCTACCTGTATCCTGGTGAGTCTACCTGTACCCTGGTGAGTCTACCTGTACCCTAGTGAGTCTACCTGTATCCTGGTAAGTCTACCAGTATCCTGGTGAGTCCACCTGTACCCTGGTGAGTCTACCTGTATCCTGGTGAGTCTACCTGTACCCTGGTGAGTCTACCTGTACCCTAGTGAGTCTACCTGTATCCTGGTGAGTCTACCTGTACCCTGGTGAGTCTACCTGTACCCTGGTGAGTCTACCTGTACCCTGGTGAGTCTACCTGTACCCTGGTGAGTCTACCTCTACCCTGGTGAGTCTACCTGTATCGTGGTGAGTCTACCTGTATCATGGTGAGTCTACCTGTATCGTGGTGAGTCTACCTGTATCATGGTGAGTCTACCTGTATCGTGGTGAGTCTACCTGTATCGTGGTGAGTCTACCTGTATCATGGTGAGTCTACCTGTACCCCTGGTGAGTCTACCTGTACCCTGGTGAGTCTACCTGTACCCTAGTGAGTCTACCTGTATCCTGGTGAGTCTACCTGTACCCTGGTGAGTCTACCTGTACCCCTGGTGAGTCTACCTGTACCCTGGTGAGTCTACCTGTACCCCTGGTGAGTCTACCTGTACCCTGGTGAGTCTACCTGTACCCCTGGTGAGTCTACCTGTACCCTGGTGAGTCTACCTGTACCCCTGGTGAGTCTACCTGTACCCTGGTGAGTCTACCTGTACCCTGGTGAGTCTACCTGTACCCCTGGTGAGTCTACCTGTATCCTGGTGAGTCTACCTGTACCCTGGTGAGTCTACCTGTACCCTGGTGAGTCTACCTGTACCCCTGGTGAGTCTACCTGTACCCTGGTGAGTCTACCTGTACCCTGGTGAGTCTACCTGTACCCTTGGTGAGTCTACCTGTACCCTGGTGAGTCTACCTGTACCCTGGTGAGTCTACCTGTACCCCTGGTGAGTCTACCTGTACCCTGGTGAGTCTACCTGTACCCTGGTGAGTCTACCTGTACCCTGGTGAGTCTACCTGTACCCTGGTGAGTCTACCTGTACCCTGGTGAGTCTACCTGTACCCTGGTGAGTCTACCTGTACCCCTGGTGAGTCTACCTGTATCCTGGTGAGTCTACCTGTACCCTGGTGAGTCTACCTGTACCCTGGTGAGTCTACCTGTACCCCTGGTGAGTCTACCTGTACCCTGGTGAGTCTACCTGTACCCTGGTGAGTCTACCTGTACCCTTGGTGAGTCTACCTGTACCCTGGTGAGTCTACCTGTATCCTGGTGAGTCTACCTGTACCCTGATGAGTCTACCTGTACCCCTGGTGAGTCTACCTGTACCCTGGTGAGTCTACCTGTACCCCTGGTGAGTCTACCTGTATCCTAGTGGGTCTACCTGTATCCTGGTGAGTCTACCTGTATCCTGGTGAATCTACCTGTATCCTGGTGAGTCTACCTGTACCCTGGTGAGTCTACCTGTACCCTGGTGAGTCTACCTGTACCCCTGGTGAGTCTACCTGTACCCTGGTGAGTCTACCTGTACCCCTGGTGAGTCTACCTGTACCCTGGTGAGTCTACCTGTACCCTGGTGA